CAAACCAGAAGAGACGCTCCCTGATGATTCATCCATGTGGTCTACAGCAGCCTCATGTCACAAACTCCGTGCAAACAGAGAGTCCTGTAGACAGGCAAACTCACAAACTGAGGAAGGTGACGGAGTGGAATGAGATCTAGTCTGGATCTCTTAACTCCACAGGCAGACTTTGGAAGTTAACTTCAGCATAATGAAAGTGCTCGTCACATTTCATTCATATGATCAATGGGAAATTGAAATGCTGTAATCAAGTCACAATACAATATTTATTTTTTGTCTATGTGTACTTTCCTACTGTAGAGGGAGGACTGACCATCAGGGAAATTTGTGTGAGAAAAGAAAAACACCTCCTCAGATGAAAACATCAAACCAACAGAACCCCTCCAAAATGCACCATGAAGCTTCACTCACTCTATCCCACAATTCCTTCTGCCTTATCCTCCTGGTGGCCATGGCAACCCCCGTATCTAGGGAGGCAATAAGAGTTAGTTCAATTCCAGATTTGCCACTGTGAATGTCTTTTTTTAACTTCAATACCCCCAAATAATTCATTTGGCTGTAGAAATTTCCTCAGTGGGAAGAGCACTGAAGAGCTGTGTGATATGGTCTGAAATGATTACAAAGTTTTCAAGCCTTCATCCACATTCAGCAATAGCTACCAGCAGCATCACTCTCTGAAGGTAACAAAAAACATTGAATATTGACAAAACCTTGAGAGAAAATCTGAGAAGCTTAATTGCTTTTTGGTGTTTTGTTTGTCATACAACACTTAGTTTCTTTTCACACAACAGAGCACAATTTCCACACTTAAGAACACAGCCTGAAAATGTAATACATTCAACTTAAAGTAAATGAAGAAACTTTGTTAGCCCACACATAGGATGCTGTGTAGAAGGCTGGAAAGGGAGAGAAACATTATTTTTTTCTCACCTCCTCACTGTTAACAATTTAAATGATACAGTTTCTTTACAGAAACCAGTTTCACCTCCCACTTGTTCTCTTTTTTTCCAAATTCACTCACTTCCACGAACTGTGTGGGGGCGCACAATGATAAATACAGTAAATACCCCGTTAGCCCTTTTGTTGCGCCTTTTTTGTCTTTAAACCATTTCCCCGTACAGCCACCATCTTCACAATGTCGGGACCAGATCTCGTCAAATGTCAGAATCCGGGCTGGCTGGGCCGGGTCTGAATTAAAATAAGAAACATCAAAAGAAAACCAGGCTGCTGCTGGAGATGGTGGTAATGAAACCTCAGCTAGGACTGTCCTTTCTGAATCAAAACTGGAAACGTTTCAGTACGGTGCATACTTGTTTCGGAATACATATGATCAATACTGATACCATAGGAAACAAGTCTGCAAACAAGAGGAGGCCGATACACCTATTTTGCTTGTTCCAGATGAAATTTTAAGCACAGACTTTGGCTGCCAGACTAACAGCTCGTTGAGCAGACAAGCAGTTTCATCAGGCTCCATTATCTGTCCCACATGAATTTCCTTTTCAGTTCTTCTGTTGTGCCCCTGTGATCTTGTTTTGTTCGTTTTTGTCAACTAGACCCGTGTCTTGACCCCAATTACAGTATAACCTGTCAGACTTCCCTGATCAATGTTCTTTGTTCTTTAAGACCTCTCAGACCAGGAATCGTTCTAGTGGCTCTTTGAACTTTTTCTAAGCTTAAACTCCTTTTGTGTTACAGTGATCAAACCCGCGCACAATACCGTCAATGAGGTATTGCAAACACATTGAAAATTGTGAGCGTCATTTCCATTTATTTAAATTATGTGTAGCATTTAGTTTACTTTTTTATTGCTCTTCCACATTGCCATTAATAGGAAATAGAGGACTCTATGTGTACACCCAGATCTCTACATCACTCCTGCAGCTTAGAATTACTCACTTATAGTATTATGTATAGTGCAGGTTCCTTCCTGATTGTATAGATCCATTTGTGAACGTGAATTTGAATTTGCCAAACATGTGCCCCAACTGCAGCATCTTGGCAAAGTGGGTAGCATTACTGTCTCACAGCTCAGGTGCCCTGGGTACAATTCCAGGTGACCTGTCTGCGTGGAGTTTGTATGTTCTCCCTGTGTTCTCCTGGGTTTCCTACAGATGCTCTGGTATTCTCCCACAGTCCAAAGACACGCTGGTATGTTAATTGGCTTCTGGAAAAACTGACCCTGGGGTGAGTGGGTGTCTGAGAGACCCTGGGTATCCTCCCTTGTGACGCTGAATTGGATGAAGTGGTTAGAAAAGTGATTTAAGATACACCAGCAGTACTGGAGGATTTTAGCATAAAACAAATCTTTAGCACTTGATATTATTTTTCCTCCTAGGTCTGAGCCCAAAGTGGCAGTTCTAACTACTGCGCCACTGTGCCACCAGCTCTCATAAAAATGTGACGTTAGCAGCAGTTTCATGTTTCAATCTGATATTATATTGTAAACTTTAGCTTTTACAGTATTCTTTCTGCTGGTGGACTGAAAAAAACTCTGACGCTTTGCATCACTTTTCTATATTCTTTTAAGCCTTTAGGGAATCCTCATATCTTTTTCCTGCTGTGCCTCTAGCTCTTTGCTGGTCTTTAAATCCTAAGCTCTTCTCCACCAGTCAGCACCATTCCTTCCATTTATTCCCAATTTCTCCTTTTCCTAATTTCCAAAGGTTACACTTAAAACATGTTTTACGGATTGAAATGTCAGCATTATGCTTTAGAAGTGTAACTTTGCTTCTTCAATCGACGATCGGTTTCCAGTTCACTGTCTTATTATTTCTTTGTCTGCTGTTGGAATGATATGAAACCTTTGGAGGTTTCAATTCAACGCCAAATGGATAAACGACTCCAGTGATTTTACCTCATCTATTCTCTCTATCAAGATGCTTTTATCAACTCTAAGAAGGTAATCATTCATCCAGCAATAACCCGAGGGCCTGTCTGCAGTGTGGAGATTAAAATCCCACGGTATTTTTGGAAAGTGAACAGGTGTTAACTTCAGTGTTGTAGCAAAATGCAAAAACAATTCTATTAGACATTGTTACACCCTAGATGCTTCATTTTGGATGGTGATCAAAACAGTGTTTTCTGCTTTAATAAAGATTACAATCAATAAACATCTTATCATCCGTGTATTGTACTCCAGTGCTACTGTATTTTCAAAGCTACATCAGCTGTCAACAGTTTCATCCAGAACATGTGGAAAGGTATCAGAAGCACAGGCGGTCTCATTACTTTAACAAAATTATCATGCTGTCATCTGCTTTAGTTCCAGAGTGGCTTCGCATCTGTTAAAAATAGATAAGTGCTTAATGTCCTGCTGAAACTAATCAGCAGAATGAAAACTGTGGAGTATGAAGTGACAAAAGTTGCACAGCTATACAGGTAGAATTTGACAAATGCAGTTTATTCCTACATTTTCCATTACACTTGAGCTTTGACAATTCAAAACAATCTTCAGCTGTAAGATGGTTGAGATGGTTGTCTGTTCAATACCGGAAAACCAACATGGTAAGGCACTACTCTCTGAAAACCATGGCAAAGACATGCAGCTGGTGTTCAAATTTTTGAGCTATGCAAACTTCATCCCAGAAGTCCATCTGGACAGCTCCATGTATCCAAACAGATCTAAACACTACTATTTTAACCATATTCTAGAAACACAAGTACAGTATTTCGGCTCTTTCAAAGGAAAGAACCCAGGATCAGGCCTTGAAAAGTCTGGAAAGTACTGTACACATACACACACACACGTCATGCCAATGCACTTCTTTCACAGAGGAGAATGATTGTTGCAGGGAAGACATGATTGGGGAAAACAGTTGAGAAATCTGCTGCTGTTACAAAACAAATGAACATTTCCTGAGTACAGTACAGTACTTCACCACAGAGGTGCATGGCTAAGGCCTGTCTACTGAATAGGCCCTTATATTAACAAATCCTTTTTGTTGAGAGGCACTGATACTCCTTAGCACCGTGTAATGTCCTAGCACTTAATTAATTAATGATTAATTAATGCCGTTTCCTAGTTTGCTTTATGCGACTGTTATTATTTGCATGCTTTCACCTGACCAGGTGAAGTTTAAATCAACAGAAATGCAGCGGTCTTGAAACAGCTCACGTATGTTGAGAACTGTGCCCAGATGAGGCTCTCTTGTGCATTTGACATGTTACTCTACAGACGGGGTGGGCTGCAAAGATTAAGATGGTGAGGCATGTGGGCCAGCGTCACGCTATGCCCCTCATTTCTGTTGTGAGTATGACTGTGCCACTCACTGCTGCCACATCTCCATGGTTTTAAAAATAACTTCTGTGTGGTGCATCTGAAAACACTGCTATATAAACTGGTGGAAAAATGAAAAGTTTCAGGGAGGATTCTGGGAAATTACTGAATGACAATATATGGGATAATTGTTGATATCCAATTACATTTCTCCTTTTCCTTTAACTGGTGTGAATCTGCCTAACCTTGAAGATAGAATCATTCTAATAAACGATATAACGTATGTGGAAATTATATACTAGTAGAATTCAAAACGGGGAAACGACATTTACCAAAACTAGAAAACATTCGGGATCTGGCATCCAACATCCTACACTGTGATGATCTGGATGGCTTTATATCTTTTGCAACCTCCCTCATTTTATGTAAACCACACCAACCTGTCATTATTTTACCTGGATTATAAATAGACTTTTGCCAGGAAAAAATGGCAACAATAAAGATACAGACCCTGACCAATTCACACTGATAACAGCAGCTGCTGTAAACAAGAGAACTGTGGTCCATCCGTGGTGAAGAACCCTCACTGCACAGTCTCATCCCAAAAAGCCAGGTCCTTCAGAAGTGCTTGAGTGCTGTTCTTGCCCACCACCACCTCCACAGTACACCACCACCATTGAGAGATTAATGATGTTAGGCTCACTGACAGCAGAAATGTTAACCCACAAAGGTGTTACGGACACAGATTATCAGGGAGGAAAAAAGAACAAGCGAAAGGGTGTTAAGTTCATCCACATTTTTTCTTTTATTATTGTTCAGTGTTTCAAAGACAACGGGAAAAGAAAGAAACCAAACCCAAGACAGAGCAGCTGTGTAAATTATACAAGGATATTCCAAGACAGACCACAGAGTTCTCCAACAATACTCCAAGATACTGTACAGATCGTATAGCGAAAAGGAATAAAAAACAAACAGGAAAAGCTCACAGATGTATGTCAAAAGCAGGCAAAGAGTTAAATGCTTTAAGCTTATTTACAGCACAGTTGTTTAAAGAAGTGTCTTCTACACCCACATTAAAACACACACCCAAAGATACAACACTAAACACTTCTGCTTGTGTGGTACACCTTACAGTTTTGGTCACTTTTTTATTTTATTTTTTATTTTTTTTAAGTTTACCTCGATATATTTTACGGTCCTTCCATCTGTACTGCGGGAAAGATACACTGTCATCTCACTTGCTAAAAAGTACGTCTTAAAAAAAAAAAGCAAAAACGACAACTTTCACCTCTTTCTCTTTCATGACATTCATATGAATTGTTGGGAGTCAAGTGAAAAGTGCATTTATTGGTTGCTGTCGGGCGGGGGGAACAGCAGTAAAAGGACATGATCTTGTATCCTCACAAGTGTCTGCAAAAGAACAATGTGTTGTAATTTAAGCTGATAATGAATGGTTCTTGCCCTGTATTTACATTAAATACATGCTGTCCAAAGATGGTTTTCATGGTAAAATAGTGTCTTTAAACAAACACACAAAGAGAAACGTAAGATTCAAGCTTCGACCTTCCCAAGAAAGGTGTTTTTATTACAATAATTTACTTCAGGTTTTACGTTTCATACTTTAATTGATCAATTCTTCCCTCCCCCCGCACAACTGAGTCACCCTCATCGTATTTGTAGGCCTTTGTCCTAACTTTTTAAATAAGTCAAAACATTGAAAAATGTTGTTACTTCACCAAGGGCTGTACAGTACTTCACATGCTGCAGTACAGCTGGAGCACTTGGATATTGTATCATATTTTAATGTCTATCCATTAGTAGGATACATGTGAGGCCTGAGCAGGGGAGGGGGGTTGCAGACACCATATTTGTGTCATCTGGTTAATCCAAGAAATCTCTCATATAGCTGGGCATCTCCGGTCCGGAGGTCCTCACCTCCTAAGGATGTGCTGCCACTTTTCTAAGACTTAAAAACTGGTGATTTATTAGTGAAATAAAACAATTCAGATTGAAGGTGAAACCCCAGGGCCACCCTGGAATGTCAGGACAGGATTGTCCAACCCCAAAGAAAAACAAAAATCCTACATAAGTCCTGTAGGACTCTTGTATTTAGGAAAAAATCACAGATGAAAGATGTGGAAGAGTTTAAATTGCTCCACAGTTACTTTACTCTGTACTGCTAATCTGGGCAGGACTGTTCCTGATGGGGAACACAGGATAGATTCTTTTGTCCATCTGGAAATCATTTTTCTGGGCCCACATTATGTTAGCATCTTATTCTGCTGGGGGTGAAATTTGGACTTTTCTTCTTTTGAATTACAGTAGAACCCCAGCAGAAGATGTCTAAGGAAGTACCTTAACTCTCCAACTGGCAGAACCAACTCAACAGCACTGTGGGTTCTTTTGGACCAAAGACGATGTCACTTAGCCTCTGATGCTTAATGCTATGCACAGTTTTCAAACTCAACATTTGGTATCACATGATCAATTTAAAAAAAGAAAAAAATAAGCTGGCATTAGTGCTTCTATAATATAGGGACAAAGTTAACCTATGCAATAAATGCTTTGATAATGGTCAACATGATAACATCTCATATTACTGGAAAGCACTTTAATTTTTTTAAAAGTGGACCAAAAAATTTGTAAACGGTAAGTATCAAGTCTTGTTTTCAAAAATCTATAGTTTTGTAGTAATGTTTTTTTTATAAAACCCAGTAGCTTCGTGTTGTTAAATACTTTCGCCCTACAATATTTTCTATGAACTGTAGAATTTGAAGAACCAGTTTGTACTCGTAACCCAAAAATGTCTGTAAAAGAGACATTGCGAGTGGGTCCCCATTAAAAAAGGACAAATATTACCTCCAGTTTAAAAAAATACCATCTATGGTGTTTAAAGAAAAGTTCAAGAAATACAGTTTTCCTGTATTAAAATAAGACATTGCACTAGTCCTCTGGGCATATCAACATAAATTAAGAAACACGCAAAAAAAACACTACTATTCATTAAAATACCCCACGCAGTAAAAATAAAACATTAAAATATCAAAACAAAAAATACTGTAGGTTGGAAAAGTGCACAAAGTTGATTTATACATAAAATCTAAATAATGTACTAATACTTTGTTTTAAATAAATAGTCTTGTCCAAGACTTAATATCAGAATATATACACACTTTTAAAAGAATGACCCTCAGATGCTTCAGGACGTCTTTAAATCTTCTACATCTCGCTCAGTGGCCTAGCTCACCTTGTTGGCTGATTCTATTTCCTTTTAGTCTTCCAAACAATGTTCATGATGTATATCATTTTTGTTAAACACAAAATAAATCACCTCATGCCACTACAACACAGTTTTGAACATATGCAGGATTTAAAACGTTGCATGTATATATGTAATTTAAGCAATAAGATGTTAAAGAGTCATTTCAAGTGGATTTATCGCACACACATTTTTCCCCAAAAAGCTGCTCTGCAAAAGTCTTAGAGATCTGAGACATGATTAGGAGTACCATTATATGTACTGTGTCAACAACTTATTCCACTTGCGTTTCAACGATTACAGCAAAATGCACTGTTTTTACTACAGCGAAACACTGGATGAGAAGAAACTAAGCTGGTCATTTAGCAATCTTCAAAAACCTGATCATGTCCACTCTGTCATCTATACAGGACAAGTATGAGCCGAAGTAGCTGCGAGGTCACATTTACCAATTAGATCTAACTGACTCGCTGTCAGGTTTTCCTTTTCATTAACATTTTTGTTCCCCTCTATATACTGTACATTCATAAAAGCTGAAAGGCTCGGTTTTGTACATGCAGATAATACAGATCTATGTGTATTAACTACTAGCTGAAATAAATGACTACCATTCCAGTAGAAGATCACCATAGGATCGTATTTTTCGCTAAAAAATAAAAAAAAACAAAGACAACAGATACAACAGTCAAAAATGTGTAAGACTTTTGCACAGCAGCGTAACTGAAGTGAGATTCCCATCTAAAATAAGACGTCTGAAGTCAGCAGCATATTACAGTGCACATATTCCTTTTGAAACCACAGTTTGCTGATTTAAGGGGGCAGAATACTTGCTGTCTTTTGTCTGCTCAGCAGTGACAGGAAAGGGGAACTACTGTGGCCACAGTACAGCTGTGGCCACATCACTAAACTGCTCGTTTGCAAAGCAGCAGTGATTCAGATAAATGATCGATAGCAGGCTTTGAGACCACAAAGTCTTGCATTTGCCATCCTCAAAAATGAATTTGCCATGATGGTGTAAAACATGGCCACAAACCTGGGTGCTTAAACAGATGAGCTGAAAGTGAAGTATTTGGAATATTGGTCCCTTTTGACTTTACAGAACAGGTGTCCTATAGGCTCCACACTCGGGTAGTTTAAAATGCGTTTTACACATGGCCACAATAAAAAATCCTCTGTTTGGCAGTTATTTGGCCATAAAGAAAGACCGGCTGATCTTCAACACTAGTTTGGAGGACAGGTACTGTATGTCATCCCAAAAGGCTGTAGGCAGACGTGATGGCAATATAATTTTTCGCACAGTGGATCCTCCTTACACAGCGTGTAAGAATGTATCATTGACCCATGTGTTTACACCACAGAAGAAGAAGGAAGAATGACTTGGTAGAACTAAATTGTTTTTCTAAATTCAGATATTTCCTTGTTATATCTGGACATAGAATTAGCGGTTGTTGATCAGCTCTCCTCACACCACTACAACCTTCATAGAGAAGAAAGTAGCATAGTGCAAGTTTAAGAGGATTCACGTGAAATATACCGCCACTGCTTAGCTCAGTACAATCCCACAGTACCAGCAGCAGAGCTAAAGGACATTGGTACTTATGGATGTCATTGTAGGCCTACAGTTATCTGGCCAGCCCTAGGGACAGCAGCGGTGTGATGAAGACTCTTTATGTTGGGTTTTTTTTTGTGTTCTTGTCCCCATCTTTGTAGTCTCAAAGCCTGGTTTCGGGGGGGGAGGTTCGGGGGCTACTATGAAGGTCAGTTTCAACAAAGTGGTGTCCTAATACGGAATTGGAGAAGGAATATTGCAAAGAATAAGCCTTTAAAAGAAACAAAACAATGTCGGCGAAGTCTTCCTAGACTCCTATCAGGAACACCATCTGCTAGAAGTTAGAACGGGGTCGGCTGTCTAGCAGGAGTGAAGTTTGTCACTAGATCCCAGACAGCACCGGCAAGTTTCTCAGCTATCCGCTCCCCCACTCCAGTGTGGACAGGGCTCAGGCTGTCTAACACTCATCTATGTTGAGGCAGATAAACTCCTGAATGCACTTCCTATACTGCTGCTCAGTGGGGCTGCTGCTGGGGTATTGACCTGGCTGTCCGAAGGGACCCTCCGACTCCCGCATCTCTTCGTTCATCCGAGCCAGACGCAGCCTGCAGAGGAAGGCAGGAGAGGGAGAGGGAGAATCGGCACTTAGTTCAGGCACTGAGCATAACGCGGGCACTAAAATACTTCTCCAAGGTTATCTTTTTTGATTTCTTAATGCCAAAACAAGTACTTGTGTACACACGTTTGGTCGTGTTCACACTTTACACACATTTATCCTGAAAGCCAAACAGCAAATGTGTAGAATTCAAATGGAAATGGTGACAACGGACAGACATAGACTACATGTGTAAGCAACAAATGGATAAATAGCATCTTTACGATAATCATAACACTTCTGATCCATTTGTTCACATATTAAATTAAGGAAAATAATATCCATAGAGGAGACATACACATGCAGATGCATAAAAAAGTAGGGATTAGTTGGTAAACCTCTATAGCCCTAGCTAGAAGGTGTGGGTTTCAGATTCCAAGTCGAAATGCTGCTGTAGCCTTGTATGCAAGGCACTAAACTCTGATTGTTTGAGTAAAACACCAGCTGTGGCCAGGAAATGGGTACAATTGTAAGTCGTTCTGGATAAAAGTGTCAGCCAAAAGAGCCATAGCTTGAGGTAATCCAGGGATGTCTTGAACACTGCAAACAACTGACTAAGACCTCTCTCAAAACCTTGGCTGCACATACTGTACCTAGGTATGTTTCCCTGGTGACTTGCATGTGACAATGACCAGAAACAGCTCTGCACCACGTCATTTTAAAACATGTGGCATGGTGTCAACAATAACAGCTCTTGTGCTTGCTCTTTAAAGTGCTAGAATGTGCGAAATTGGACACTACTGTATAAAAACGATTAATTATAGGGACTAAGAAGAGGACATCTCGGAGCATATCCAGACGATCTAGCCTACTCACAAGGTGACGATGTCTGCGTTGGCAGCTTGCACAGCAATGCTCAGTGGGTCCTGGCCATCTTCATCACCGTCGTTCTGAGTGGCTCCCCTTTTCAAGAACAAGCACACCTGTCTGCAAACCGATGGAGACCAAATGAGTTAAATCTGCTCTATCACAGCACTGCTCTATCACGCCACTGTTGGAGAGGCAGAACTGATTAAAGATCAAACATTGGCTTTACAATCTTCAGAAACTCATTAATTCAATGCAGAAGAAGTGACTTATTCCTGCACGGAAGTAAACACCAAGTCAGTATGATGAAAACACACTTACTGTATGCATCATCTGAAAGTTACCAGTTATAACACAAGATTCCAAATGTGAGAAGGCTCTTCAGGCTGCCTACAGTAGATCACTGGGTTGCCAGCAACTAACTGATCCCATGATCTCGTCCTGCTGTCTCTTGAAAGAAGCCAGAGCATCAGCTTTAACACACGGCTGGGAAGGCTGTTCCAAGCTTCCACAAGCCATTGGGAAAATTGTTTTATTGACCAAAACAATTCTCTTTTTTCTCAGGGCTTTGGTGAAACTACAGCAGCAGCCATATCACCCTGCAACTCACAACTGGCAGCCCCACTGAAGCTCAGCAGGTGTGGGGGACCTCCAGGGAAAAACGAAGGTTGCTGCTGGAAGAGGTGTTAGCGGGGCCAGTAGGGGGTGCTCACCCTGCAGTCTATATGGGTCCTAATGCCCCTGTCCAAACTTCCCATTGGCCTTTACCAATCATGGCCTCATAATAATCCCCATCTCTGAACTGGCTTCATCACTCTGTTCTCCTCCCCACTGAGAGGTACTGTGTGGTGAGTGCACTGGTGCACTATGGCTGCCGTCGCATCATCCAGGTGAGGCTGCACACTGGTAGTGGTGGAGGGGATCCCCATTACCTGTGCTTTGAGTGGGGTGACCAGAAAAGCGCTATATAAGTGTAAGCAACCATTATTATTATAGCACTTTGTCCCCAGGTGATAAAATGAAGAGAGGAGACGGACTTCTGGTATAGCCTTTTTTACAGAATGTGCTGCATTTGGCTTGTCCTGGGCTGAGACAGATGCTAGCTTGCACTGAGCCCGTGAGGTCAGGATTAGACAGGCTCAGCAGTCTGGGCACCTGGCATCACTCACCCTGTGTGCCCCAGGTACGTGGCGTGGTGCAGAGGGCCCCTGCCTCGCAGGTCTCTTTGGTTGACGTCTGCGCTGTTTTGAAGCAGAAACTCGCAGGCTATCAAGGAGCCCTGGAGGAAAAGCAAAATAAAAGAGCATTAATCTCCACTCGCCAAAGCTTCACTCGAACGGCTTGGAAGCCCTGCAGAGTTAATTTCAACCACATACGCCCGCCTGACGCGAGACAGAGATTTTCTACTCTATTTTAACGCAGACGCTTTTGTAACCACAGCTCTCTCCTATCAGGTTTGTTACTTAATCCTGTAAATGTAGACGGTGTCTTTACTCCGAAAGACAATCTGCCCCAAATGCTTCTTCTTTATAACTCCCAGAAAGCTGTGATAAAAATCACATTATCATACAGGAAGCTACCACATGAAACAAATGTGCCTGATGTTACAACTTTAAAACCCGCTTTATAATTTCTCTTTTTTCACCAACTATGTGTACGGTGCAGTATATTGTTGAATCCCAGCCCTTAAAGGACAAAGGACTTTATCTCTTTCTTCCTTATGTTTACATAAATCTAAGAACATAAAGGTTACAAATGAGAGGGCATTTGGCCCATTTAGCCTGATGGGTGAATATATTTGATTCAGAGGAAGGCATTAGAAGCCTAAAAGAAATCTCTTCATGTTAAAGGACAAAAACTCCATTCGCCAACAACAGCTGGACTGGACTGACGCTGTTGAGCTGCAGAGAAATATTGATATCCAGGTTAGCAATATAGTCATTATTTGGTACACATTTGGAATTGCAAATTCGCTTTCCATCCATCTTCTCAACGTTTAATCTAATTCAGGGTCACGGAGAGCCTATCCCAACAATGCAAGATACATCCTGGATTGGACAATAGTCCTTTGCAGGGCAGAGATACCAATACACACACATGGACCAATTTTCCTAGAAGACAATTAACCTACCAGCATGTCTTTGGACTGTGGGAAAACGTGAGGACCTGGAGGAAAACGTGAGGAGAACACACAAACTCCACACAGACAGCACTCCAGGTCTAGGGGTCAATGCTGACCACTGCGCCACAGTGCCGCCCAAATTCTCTTTCCTTTTTTTCCTCAATTTAAGTTTTGAAATATCACATTTCTAGACCCGGGGTGCTGTCTGTGCGGAGTTTGTATGTTCTCCCCATGTTTGCGTGGGTTTCCTCCCACAGTGCTAAGACATACCAGTAGGTTAACCGGCTCATTGGAAAGTCGTCTCTGATGCGTGCGTGTCTGTGTGTGCCCTACAATGGACGGGCGTCCCCTCCAGGGTGTAGCCTGCCTTGTGCCCACTGCTTGCTAGGATAAGCCCCAGCTCTCCAGAAGCGGTGAGAAAACGAGTTGCCAGGGGGCACTCACCCCGATGACAGCCTGTATCAGTGGGCTCTTCCCCTCGTCTTCTTCGTTGACCCAGTTGACGTCGGCACCGTGCGCCAGGGCCTCTGCCATGACAGGCAGGTTCCGAGCCCGAGCCGCCTTGTAAATCAGCGCCCCGGGGTGCAGGTCCCGCGGGTCCTCGGGGTCCGACGCCTCCTGCTCGATCTCCGCCTCCCCGCTGGACTCCTCCGAGACCTCGCACTCTGTACGGAACAGTGGGCGGGCCGGGGAGTCAGGAATGCAGCACCGGGGAGAAAATACCTGTTCCCAGCTTGGGAGGTCCGGGCGGGACCAGAATCCATCGGCGAAATGGAACGGTACCTTTAATGGGGTTTGGGTTCTGCCCCACATGAGGGGTACATTGAAATTTCATTTTGTTTTTATAACCTCCAATCTGGGATCGCCAATGGCCGACTGCTACAACTCCTGGACTGGGACCAGACCCAAGATGTGGACATACAATCATCCTGTGTGCTTGCACCCTCAGACCCATCGACTGTACTTGAGCTGCAGCCCCACAGCACTGCGTTTTCCACAGGCAGCCTGGCCATCCACAAGGGGGTGCTGTTGTGCACGGGGAAAAACTGGCCAACATCAACCTAGCCTGCGTGACAGGCCTCTGGCTCTTGGGTGCTCCAAGCCGCAGTCCGGACTAAAACACTAAATCTCTGGACCAAACTGCAACCCGTGTCTTCAATGACTTCCGAGACAAAGCAGCGCAGGTGGGCGGCCCACAAACCAAAGCATTTCTCTCTCTCTCTCAGCGCAAGCAAACCTACCTTCCTCGGTGACGCTATCCACCACTGATCCAAACACCAGGATGTCCGTGCTGCCGTCTGTGCTGCCTCCCAGCCCACTGTCACTGCTCAGACCTGCAGGGCCAACAAGCGCCAAGCCAAGGTGACGTTAATGGTCATCCAGCCAATCGGAACAGGACTTGGGGGCTCATCAGTGTGGCCACGGGGGCCTGGATGAAACCTATCTGAAAAATTATGTCCTTGGTTCACCTGGACTAAACAAATCGAAACCTTTACACTGACAATGTACTGTAAGTGTGCACGTTCCTGTAATGATTTAACTATCTTCTTGGCACCTTGGAAGATAGCTTTGCTTACACACTTTCTTTGGCCCAACTGTCAGCGTGTACTGGGAGAAACCATGCAGGCCGAGTGGACAGACACAAATAGGAAGACACAAGCTTCGGTTTTACCAAGTCAGTTTAAGTTCATTTTCCAAGGAAGAAAATGAATGGATACAATGATGCTGTAATAAAAACGATGCTCGCTTTGTTGCTCAGTTGCGGTCTTACGTACACTAGTGTCAACTTGTCTGAGCTAAGGTTTCCCCCACCCCCAATATCAGACATCACAGATCTAACAAAATGTTTGCAAGAGCAAAAGCACAGGATCACTACAGTACATACTGTAGACACCCAGTGAACATCCTGCAGGCAGCCACAGAAAAGAGTCAGCAATGATCTGGAGTTTGGGCTGGAGGGGAGGTGAGAGGGCAGTGAGCCCAGACAAGATGGCACATTGACCAATTGTCAGATGGGATTGGGGGGCAGCTGGGATTCTGGGGAACGTGGTCCAGACCAGAGGCGGTCTGCACCATGTTTGGAGATCACAAAGTAGTGTAGAATGTGCTCTTCAAAATGGTTGGGAACTAGGGATTTGTGAGAGGTGGCTGTTGGAGCTAATTGAATCTTCTCAGACTAGCTTTGCTCTGCTACCAGCCACATTACGACATCCTCCAGGGCCAAGGAAAGACTGACTTCAATTAACCATCAGGCCGACATACAGTACAGCTCGATTTTTGAAGTAACATTAAATCACACTACATTGTGCTATTATGATTTGGGCCCCACAATCTGGAATGGCTTCAGGAGGTAGGATACATTAAATTGAGATGTGAAAGATTTCAACGCTAAGCAAATGTTAAAATATCCGTCGGGGGAAGTTTGTTTTAGCACACAGAAAGCCAAACAAAACAGTTCTTCCACAGGAATCTGTAGAGGTGAGGAACGCTCTTCTGTTCCTCAGTGATAGACCTGTGTAGCTCCTGGTTTATTCACAGACACTGACCAATACACAACACCGGTTTCCCTAAGTATACACCACGTTTTCCTGGGCTAACCATAAAAAATCTGCTTATTTAACAGAATTTAAGGAGAACTTCTTCAAACATGAGACGCTGTTCTACAACCAGACTTGGTCTTAAACTTAAATTTGTAATTATCCGACTTCATTTGGCCGCATCTTCTAAACTGAGCGGCTTTAGAGGATTAACCCCTTCACCAATAGTAATTCCTTATACTTATATAGCTCTTTTCTGGACGCTCCACTCAAAGGGCTTTACAGGTAATGGGGACTCCCCTCCACCACCACCAATGTG